GGAATGCGAAGACCTCTGACATCTAGAGGACCTACTGAGATGTTTACTTTCAGCTAATTCTTCTGTTTCTCCAAAACACTCAATTTGGGTTAGGGTAATAGACGAAGAACAAGGAGTCGACAGTTGGAATATTAGTGTAAATATGCAAGCTGTTGCCGGGAACCTGAAAATAGATGGGATTAGTTTAGGGTAAGGTGGTGTGTGCACATGCGTGTAAGATGTCAGTTAGAGCCAGTCCACGGTGAGCCTTTAGGGTCAGGTTAGAGGGTAAACTTGATTCTGTAGCTCCTGTGGAGTAGGAAACCCCCAGAGGTTTATGGTAGGCAAGCGGTTTCTTTTCGCCATTTCTGGAGCAGTGCTAACTCACCAGCATAGGAGTGTATGGAAAGGAAGCCGAATGGATTCTGGGATTCCCCACCATAGCACCCTTGGCTCACTTCCTGAGAGTGTACATTGTCAGGGCCTGCAGGGCATGCGTAGGGCTGTGGTTCTGCAGAGTAAAAATGGAGCCTCAATGGATGCAAAGGCCCCAGTAAACCTTCTGGACATGAGTTGCATGGTCCTGATATCTAGAGGAATAGCTGAGTTTTTCAGTTTCATCTGACTCTTCTTCTATCCTGGAAAGATAGACGTGGGGGGTGGGACAGTGAAGCAAGAAGAAAGCAATTATGGATCTGGCCCTGGCTTAGCTCTTAACTGACCATGGCTCTTGCAGGGTATCTCCTGTCTGGGCTTCTGATCCTCTGTGTGTGACATTGGAATAATGTGCCTCTATCCTAGGACTGTGGTGGGGATCCCGTTAGCTGAACAATGGGACCTTTGATATGCATGTCCTGCCTGGGGCAGACCCTCACGTCAGTGCTGTAATGAAGTGGTCTTTTTTAATGTCTTCCAGGTGATATAATGGTCATCACGCTTTTCTTCAACGTGAGCAGGCGGCTTGGCTTTAATATCTTTCAAAACTATGTCCCTTCTTCGGTGACCACGATCGTCTCCTGGATTTCCTTTTGGATGAAGAAAGACTCTGCTCCTGCCAGGACCTCTCTAGGTAAGCGGGTAAGATGGGCATCGAGCTGGGCACACAGCTGCCTTCTCATGGGTCCTGTTGGCAGTGTAACTATGTGGGTCAGTGAGCCCACCTCCACTCCTGTGCTTTTACAGGGATCACCTCTGTACTCACTATGACCTCACTGGGTTCCTATTCCCGGAAGAATTTCCCACGTGTGTCCTATATCACAGCGCTGGATTTCTATATTACCGTCTGCTTCATCTTCTGCTTCTGTGCTCTGATGGAGTTTGCTGTGCTCAATTTCCTGATCTACCAGCACACGAAACCCCGTTCCTCTCCAAGACTTCGCTATGTATGAGCTGGGTATGGGAGGGGTAGCAAGGCTTGGAGTTATGGAGGCATGCAAGCGAGGGCACATGGGTGGTCAGCTCACCGAGTGATGGGGGGGTAGCCTGGGGTGTTGGGGGCTGTTGAATAAACTTGATGTGATGATGGGCATTCTGGGGGCAAACCCTGTGTGCCAAAGACAGAATCTCCAGACACCCCTGAGGCAGTACCCAGGCTTGGTTCCTGTGTCCTTGACGTCTCCCCCTTCCTTCTTGTCCATTTCAGCCTCGCGCCCGTGGCCGCGTCCTTACCCCTCTCCGTGCCCGTGGCCGTGCCCAGCAGCAGCAGGGCAATGTCGTGTGTGAGATCGAGGACTCTGAGGAGGACAGTGATGAAGAGGACGGCCCATCTTGCCCGGCTCAGCAGTCCCTCCGCCCGGGCCGCACCCACTGCCCCGGCGGCTGCTACAAGTTCTGCAAGTACTTGTGCACGGCCCGCCGTTGTGAGGGTGGCATGTGGCAGCAGGGCCGCCTCTTCATCCATGTCTATCGCCTGGATAACTACTCGCGGGTGATTTTCCCAGTGACCTTCTTCTTCTTCAATGTGGTCTACTGGCTCGTTTACCTTAACTTGTAGGTGCCAGCTGGTACCCTGTGGGGCAGCCTCCCCAGTTCCCCAGGAGGTCCCACACCCCTTGCCAAGGGAGTTGGGGGAAAGCAGCAGCAGTAGGAATGACTATAGAGTGTCTTTCCTTCCCCTGCCCGGCCCATTCACTGAATCTCCTTGGCAGCCCGTTTCAAGTAAAATGGCCCCCTTCGCTATTCCTCAAGGGGTGTTGTTGATGCTCAGGATTAAAAAATGTTAGGCTCTCAGTGACCAGCTTCCTTAGACTGTGCCCAGGTATGAGCAGATTAGCTATCTCCCCAAAGTGCTGACACCCACTGCCTTTTCCGAGAATCCCAGTACTGCCTTTGTGATGCCCCAGGCCTGGCCTCAGCCTCCGAGTGCACAGACCACTGCTTGCCTATTGCTGACAGTTCCTTAAGATGCTGGGCAGCAGTGTAATGGGGGGTGGAGGCATCCTTAGGTCAGATTATTGTATCCTTGGTTCTGTCTCCCTGCCCACCCTTCCCCTGGAGATAGACAGACACTGGCATTATCCCTTTAGGAGGAGGACAGCCAGCAATTGAGACTCTTTGGGACGGTATCCCTCCCTCTGCTGCTGTGACACCTCCCTCTCCCCCCCGCCAGCATCCCTCATCTGCACTACCGATTCAATTCCTTACATCCAGTGGGTTTCTATTTTTGTGTGTGATAATAGTAATAACCCCCTGCTTTATACGCTACCTCCTTCCTCTTCCTTGACCCCTGTGACTCTTACACTGTAACTTCCCCAGTGACTTTCCCAGCCCTGACCCAGGTGCTAGGCCATGGTGACTTCCCAGGGCCAAGAAAAAACGAAGGAAACTCTGCTTTGCAGTGGGCATTGCCTGCATTGATTGGTGCCCACCTAAGGCACAGCTTAGGACTTCTGTCACTTCCTTGGCCCCTGGACCCATGAGCCAGTCCGCTCTTATCCCCGGGGCACTCTCACAATCACAATCAATCAATTGAATTCCCTTAAATTTGTATAGCACTTTACCTTTTGCAAAGCACTTTTGACAAATGATTTCTATTTTGAGCTTTATTATAGCCTGCGATCGATTCAGGGCAAGATTCTTATCCCCATTTTGCAGATGAGAACCCTGAGGCACAGATTTCTATGGGACCGTGGATCTCACTGGAAACTACCCAGGAGCCCACTGTCACCTTCTAGACTGCATGACAAGGCTAGGCATCTCTGTTCACCATGATTCAATTCTATAGCCTCTGCTGACACCTCAGTGGCAGAGCCCAGAGTGGCAGCCTCTCTTCAGCATTGGCCTGCTCAATTCCTGGGCCACAGGTGCTCAGACTGCCCCCAAGATCGAGCCTGTCCTGGCTCTGGTAACCCAGTGAGGTGAATTTGGACACGCCCCAATGCTTGTATATGCTAAATGAAATCTGTGTCTGTATTTTATTGGGGGAGGTGGGGTAGGGGATCCATCTGCTTGTGTCACCATCACCTGAAAAGGGGAAATATATAAATAAATATATCAGCAAAGCATGCAAGGTGTGGCTGGTTTCTCATGCATTCAAGTTTGCTTTCAGCTCAGGTTTTAAATCTTAAGGTAATGACCCAAACCTTTGTCTATTTCCCTCTCCCATCCATGACCCACAGACCTACAAAGCACGCACATGTACCTGCTGTCAGTGCAGAACTGAAAGGAACAGTGACCAAGGGGGTGGCCCCCTTTTATTGATCTTCGTTGCACCTATGCGTCTGCTCCGCCCCATGTCCCTTTTGCTTTGCCCATCATTCTAACCTCACCTGGTCAGACATAAAATGTTCCCACAGACCATCAGACTCAGAATACTCCCCTCGCCATGTAAAGATGGAGATGCTTAGGCACGTAGATGAGTGTTTACTGTCACACACCCAGTCAGTAAGAGAGTGGGACTAAACCCCAGAAATCCCAAGACCCTCAGCTTGAAGCAAGCCTGGAGATCTTGGTTGATCCACCCTTCAAATGAAATGTCTCTAAAGGTATATTGGGAAGTGTTGGCCCTAGCATCCTGTGACACATCCAACTCTAAGCGAACTCAGAAACGAGAACTGATGACACAAAAATGGCATCTGAACAGCCAATATTGTTGTAAAATCCTTGAAATAATGCTCAAACATCTTAATCCCCTACTAGAAATGTCCTTACTGTGTATTTCCTGAGGTCCTAACCCATGGAAAATTACAAGTAGCAATTTAGAAAAAGCAAATAGCTTCTCATTTTTACTTATATTAGAATGACGCGGGGGGATGGGGTGGAGGGATGGGGGGAGAGGTGCGGCGACACAAAAGGTAGCTTGGCTCTGGAGCAATGAAGACACGCAAATTTGTGAGCACTCACATTTAAATACATTTTGAAACACAGAAATAGTGCAAACCAGATTCTTTAATCACACTGCAATTAGAGCTAAGAACAAAGAAAATTTCTACCACTTGTAAATGTTAAAATGCTCATGCAAACAGTTCTTTAAAAATGAAGAAATTAAAAACATAATTGGGTACATATTATCCAAAAATTAATGAAGAAAAAACTACATATTAAAAAGCATGCAATGCAACTAACACTGCACTTAGAGAAAGATTAAGCATTTCAACTACTAAACACAATAGAAGAAAAATGAGTTAAGGATTGAAACCTAGAAATTGTATAAAAGGATAGAAACACACCACACCTTAGAAAAGTTTTGGGGAAAGATTAATTTTTAAAATAAATAGTGTAGTGAGAACTAGTTAATCGTTAAAAAACAAATGAAACTAGGTCGCTACCTCTCTCTTTACATAAAAATTACAGATCAATCAAAAGATTTAAAAACTTTTAATGAAACCGTAAGACAATACGGGTGAATATGTTTATATTCTTGGGATGGAAAAAGGATGAAAGAAAACACCAGAAACTACAAAGGAAAATACTGACAATTTCTCCTTACTAAGAATTAATAATAACTAAAGCAAAAGCAAAAAAAAAATTGCATAGCAAAACACACTGTCACTGGTTAATTTTTGTGGGAAGCAGTCTCAGACTCAAGGCAAGAGAAGGTGTTGAAGGTGGCAGTACAATAGGCCCTGGCCACCTCGTTGACCTTGACAACAACCCTGGCTTGCGATCTCTTCCTCATCTTTCAGGACCTCCTCATACAAGATAGGAAAGGCCTCGGGGATGGTATTATTGACCTTGGCCAAAAGCTCCAGGATTTTCATCTTGCTGGTTTCACTGTAGGCCCTGAGACCCCACAGGAACTCGTAGCATGCAGGAACACTATTAGGAATCTGCCGGTACTCAAGGTACTGTTCCTGCACCCAAACCTTGGTGATGAGATTTCTGGGCTCCCCATAGATGAAGTGCTCCCTCCCAGGATACACTCCCATGACACTCAGCGCTTCCCAGACGTCCTCCTCAGAGACACAGTTGCCATGAATGAAGATCACACCCAGAACACTTATCAAGAGGCCGGCCTTGGGCATGCTGTGCTCATCACTCAATGTCCCATTGTAGGTGAGGCCCAAGGTGTTGACCAGGATATAGGTGTGGTTGATGGAGTCCACTTCCTTCATATCAATGCCCAAGATCAGCTGCAGGCACTCAGAGGCTTTGCTGAAGATCTCAGGGAAGTGGTCCTGGTGCTGTTTGGTGATGATGCTCAGCATTTCCGCCTTTGTGGTCGGCTCCCTTGCACGGTACTTCAGGAGCAGGAACCGCACCAGAGTAGCCACCATACTGTCTATGGCATCTCTAAGCGAGAGGCCAGTGTCTGGCATGGCCTGCGAAGTGCCTGACCCCTTCTCTTCCGGGTTGCTGCAGTCCTGACATAATTGGGTTGATGGAGTGACTGCTGTGACATTGGGAGGGAAGCAGGCGCTCTGAGGAACCTGGAGGGGCCTTAGTGTCTCAGCAACAGCAGAAAGTGCCTTTATGTAGCTTGCGGCCAGACAACAGCAGGAGGAAGAGAAGGAGGAGGAAGAGGAGTAGGAGGAAGAGAAGGAGGAGGGAGAGAAGGAGGAGGAGGAGGGAGAGAAGGAGGAGGGAGAGAAGGAGAAGGAGGAGGGAGAGAAGGAGGAGGGAGAGAAGGAGAAGGAGGAGGGAGAGAAGGAGGAGGGGGAGAAGGAGAAGGAGGAGGAAGAGAAGGAGGAGGGAGAGAAAGAGGAGGGAGAGGAGGAGG